TCGCCAGCGATCCGTTCTCATTAATTAAACTTAATTGTCCGTCATGCAAAACAAAATCAGCGGTGCTAAGAACTTTACCGTGCCTAGGAAGTTTGACTTCTTCAGTCTCACCATTCTCGAGGCATTTTATCAAAAGTTCAAAGTCAGGGTCCTGACGAAGTTCCACGAGCCAGTCATTTTCTTGAACTGTGCAGACTACTTTTTCGTCCTCAGCATAACCTGGGACGCTACCGTCTTGTATAGGAAGCCCTCGTGACAGCGCATCCGCAACCACGTTGGCAGTTCCTTTCACGAAATCTATAGGTGCAGGTCATAACGGCTGAGCCTTCAGCGCCCACCTCAAAACCCGTGGGGAAACATTGGTTCGCTTGAAGAGCGAGGTGAGAGCAGCATGATCTGTCCGAATTATAGTATGAACACCATAAATAAAATAATGAAACTTTTTGAGGCTGAAAATCAAGGCTAGCGCTTCTTGATCAGTGACATGATAGTTTTTCTCAGCTCCAGACAAGTGCTTAGAAGCAAAAAATACTGGATGCAACAAGCCGTCATCTCCATCTTGAGCTAGAACCGCGCCTATGCCTACCCTACTAGCGTCTGTATAGATAACAAAGGGGCGAGATCCGTCCCTTGCTTTCTCTATATTTGGTTGCGCTAAGACTGGAGCCTCCGTGAGTGCCTTTTTAAGCATTTCAAAAGCTAAGGGTGGTGTTCATTTTGTCCACACAAATAACCTTTTTGCGGCCTGTCAGGTCTACTATAAGGTTTGGCGATCTGCGAAAAACCGGCAGCACGAAACTGCGATAGATATCCTGCCGATGACCAGGATATGTCGTAGTTGGGCTATGTTCTGTGGTCGGGCGTAATCCTGAATACGTGCTATCTTTTCCGGGTCTGCTCTGACACCGTTCTCGTCTACCACATGGCCCAGGAACTCTATACTAGGTTCCATTATGCGACATTTTTGAGGTTTAATCTTCAAATGGGCTTCCCTAAAGGCGCTGAGCACCCGTTGCATGATGTCAACATGCCGTTCTAAGGAATCGGTGGCAATCAAGATGTCATCGATATAAACTGAAACTTCAGGACCTAACAATTCACCCAGCACATTGTCCATTAATCGTTGGAACTTTGCTGGTGCTGTCGTAAGGCCGAAAGGGAGGACACGAAATTGAAAATGCCCTGATGTTGTAGTGAACGCACTAATTTCCTTTGCCTTTTCGGTTAAGGGTACTTGCCAGTACCCACTAGCTAGGTCTAGCGATGAAAACCATCGTCGTTTTCCTTGCAAATTCTGCAATGTGATATCGATTGGCGGTAGGGGGTAACTATCCTTTTTCGTCACCTTGTTGACCTCCCTATAATCGACACACAATCGAGTAGTCCCATCTTTCTTGGCTACTAATACTATTGGGGATGCCCACGGGGATTGACTATCCTCAATCACCCTTCTTTCTTTAAGATCCCGCAACATTACACCCAATTCCGCACGTATTCCGTAGGGGACGGGTCTTGTTTTCTGTCGGATGGGTGGATGATCACCCACGTCAATGTCGTGAGTGACTAAATCCGTTTGCGTAAGTCGTTATCAAATTGAAAAACGTCGCTATATATTGCAATCACCCTAACTTATTTCCATCGGTAAGTTCCGCAGCTTTTTCGATTTTTTATTCAATGCATGTCCAAAAGTACATGGATTCGTTTTCGGCGCATCCTGTAACGCAGTGGGCTGACGTAGGTTCATCATATCGCTCGGGATATCGGCTATCCTGGGGTCAACCCAAGTTTCCGTTGACCACCTCCCTAGGTCCTCCCCTCGGCCTATTACCCAGGGTTCTGAACCTTTATTAATAACTGACAGTTCAGCTCTGCCTTCATCTACCTGGCATACACCAGACTCTATACGAGGATTTTTGGACCAAAATATGCAAGCTCCCTTGCTAAATCCACCAGAAATTTTTACTGTGGCTACTTTACCTGGCCCGACTACTACCCTCCTGTCTGAGTACGCAGCATGAGAACACGGGTGATTTGCAAAGCCATTCCGCGTTGCGTGTTGGGGGGGGAAGGTTGGGGGGAGGTGGGCATGTATCGGGGTGGGAGCGTTGTGGACGTAGGGGATGGGGGTGCGTAGTTTGGGCTGGGTGGAGAGTTGGGTGGGGCGTGGGAGGGGAACGATAGGCTGGTTGGTAGTCCATGGGCAGTTTAGAAGTTCTCTAAAAGCATTAGTACCTAATAACAACGTATCGTCGTTACTTTGCTGCACGTGCATATGCACGCAGGCCGTGCTAGCTCCTATGACCATTACCTCTGTTTTTATTTCCGAAAGGAAGCTCATCGCATTCCCCGACGCATCGAAAAGTCTACGTTGTTTTCCCATCGCCTACGATGTGTGCCTTAGCATCAAGATCAGCGCCTTGTTCGCGCACTCTCTTGAGGAGCCCAACAGGGATAATCGAAATCACAGAGCCTGTGTCTACGAGCGCTTTTGCTGTAATACCGAAAATTTCCACTTCACAAGTGCTTGGTTTACCTACAGCGCCTGACTGGAGTTTTGGGTCTTCCCCTTTTCTTTGGACAGTTTTACACCACCTGTCTAACTCCGTTACAAGCGAGCTACCTCCAGCTGCGTTGTTTCGCGTATCGTTATAGTTGCGGTTGTGACCGTTCTCACGATACTTGTGGTTCGAGGGTTTCTCCCTTTTTCTGCAGTCCGCTGCCAGATGTCCCCTTTTTCCACAAAAGTTGCATTTGGGTATGGACTTGGCTAGGGTTCCTGCTTGTTCACTGGTCGTATTAAAAGAGGGAGTCTTTTGAGGGTCGCTACCTTGTCGATCAAACCCCCTTTTCTGGAAACGCAACTGGGTGTTGCTATCGAATTGCAGCTTTTCCAGCCGCATGGCAACTCTCTTCACCTCTTCGTAGACTCGTCCCTCTGGCGCATCCAATGCCGCCATCATGTAATATGAATTTTGCCAGTGTTGAAAACAGGAGTACAACTTGGACCCTCTTATAAAATCCCACTCGCTGCTCGGGTGTATTTTTCGAGACAGATCTTCCATGCGGCAACAAAAATCTACGACAGATTCGCCGTTTTTCTTGGAGAGACTCTCCCATTCTTTGATATCCCTCAGTCGATCACAGGGATTTTTACGCGCTGCCTTGAGCGCTTCAACGACACCGTTGAAGGTCCCTTGCTTGACTATATCTGAGAAACCCTTATAGAGTGACAGAGCCGTCCCCTCTAAGTGGTTCACTAGCAAGTCGCGTCTATCCGAGTCTTTCCACAACGTGGCGGGAAATTTCACTTCTATTGCCCGAAGAAACTCGCTTAAGGAATTTTTTCCGTTATATTTCCTTACATCCGCGACGCACTGGGTTTTAAAAACCTCCTTAAAAGCACTAAACATGCTAATAGGGTCCACAGCATGTGCCTTAGTAGTGTTCGAATAGTAGGTACTGTACAGGGACTCACCACTCGTCGATCCTCGGAAAGATTCCGGCGAGCACTGCCGTGACGACTTTTGCGACGCTGCTGTTGGGACGCAGTGAGGTCCATCGCTCTTGTGGTGGAGTTCGTTCCGTCTCTGAACAGAATTTTCTCTGTCTTTGAGTGATGTGTAATGGCTGCGAATATTGTTCCAGTCATTAACTTCCTCACCTGCGGTGGCAACATCTGCGCTTCGGGCCTCCGACATTGACGGACCCGCCATTTGAGTAACTTGCGCCTGCAATATCCTTATCTTACTTTCGAGGTCATTCCTCGCCGCCAGTGCCGAGGACAAGCTGTTTTCCATCTCTATTACTCTAACACACTGCTTATCTACTGTTTCAGCTACCTGGTTCAGCTCGCAGCCGAGTCTTGCTGCGATCTGGCAGAGGGTACGGCTGTGCGAGCTGACAGTAGGCAAAAATTCGCGCAACTCCTCTACTGACATTTGGACCTCATCGAAAAACGAGGAGCTTGTTGACTGCTCCCTTCCTTCTAGATGATTTTTGACCTTGACTAGAGCATTCCGTACTGTTTCCCGTACGGTTCCCAGAAATGATTCCGCGCTTTAGCGCTTGAGAAATTGCGTATCTGGTCAGTTAGTACCTCGCTGAGCTGAACCAGGATGTTTTCGAAGCACTTATTTATGTCCTCGTATTCGCAACTTACTCCGATTGCGTTCCAATCGTTTAGAGGATTTGTGCCGTCGATTTGATCCATTTCGTGCTCGTTGCAGCTTGTTGTACTAGACATTTCAGCTCGATTATCTGCAAGTTCAACTGTTAATCCAGTTCGGCTTGGCCCCCAAGTGGTTTACTTCGATTCCGAAGTAGTGTATTAGTTGACTAGATTTGCTGTTGAACACAGATAGAAGGAATATTTATTCAGTACAATAGTTGTCCCGTGTTGGGACACTGAAGACAGGCGGAGGCGAGTGAGTGCGAAGAGAAAGAGTAAGTAATACTGTATGACCTCGCTATATATGGGTGGCGCGAGAGGGGGCGGGGCGACCCTTTGGTACCTGAGGGGTCATCCGTTTGCTCCTGGCAATATCCTCAGGCAGTTAATGAGCCCCTGGTCATTAGCCTCGGGATAGGTCGCCTCCGGTCCCCAGCAACCCAACAGTGGGTCACAAATACACAGTCTATATAATTTACATATGATATGATGCTTACAACGCTCTATCCTACGCATGTTTGTACGAATTTCCACTCGTCGTTATCATAAAGATATCAGCTCTTTTATCGTATCACCTCACTCTCACCATTCGGAATGGAGAGAGATAGCATAGTGGCTACTAGCTAGTAGCTAGCAGCCGGTGGGCATGGGCCTAAGGGGCGCCCTTGGGCCTAATTGGTTAGCTTGAAGCGGAATTCTTGCGGATTTTCACTTTCTAAAGGTAGCGCAGCCTCCGCAATCTCCTTCCGGATCGTCTGACACATTTGAAAGGTCATAGCCTTATTTTATCGCGGAAAGTGCCTTTAAGCTACTTACTTTTCTTCTGAAGAAAATGCATAAGATTTTAGGCAGAAGACCTTCTGTTTCGCCAAGGAGCAGATCCCAGAAATCTGTTAGAGCGGAATCGTCCATCAGATCCCAGAAATCTGTCAGAGCGGAATCGTCCATCCGATCCCAGAAATCTGTCAGAGAGGAATCGTCCATCAGAAGTAGGTGGAACCTCCTTTCTCCAAACAGTTCTTCTACTCGTTTTACTCATCGATGTAAGTTTCAGCTGCTCGAGCAGCGACACCCAGAGACAGCTCGAGAGCTTTGCGTCCAACAACTCCAAGAGGTAATTCTGATACTGTCACAGTTATTCAGAAATATCATACTCTGACTACTAAAAAGGTTCAGCTGCTCGACCAACTACACCTAAGGACAGCTCGAGAGCTTTGCGTCCAACAACTCCAAGAGCCTTGCGTGCAAGGACTCCAAGAGGTAATTCCGATACTTGTCACAGTTATTCAGAAATTGCTGTTCTGATTATTAAAATTTTTCAAGTGAGGAGAAGCACAACACCAAAGCTGATGGACGCGTGTCCGTCAGGTTCTCTACACTCGAATTTCCAAATATATCTTCCTCCACGACAACCTTCCCAACCGACGAAGATTCCAATCACCAAAAAGTCCACAGACTCATCGGTGAGGACCGCCAGAGCCTCCACGCCGAAGAAAACTTCACCTCCTAAGCCGATCGGTCAAAGCCGATTAATAAAGAAACCAGCTCCCACAGCTCCACTTCGGAAACCTGCAGTGGCCAAGAAACCCTCACCACCAGTTCCTAAGCGGGATACTACAGTGTCCACCACGACAACTGAAGTTAGAAGAAAAGTGTTGGCTAACGACATGACTAGCCCAACTGCTCATCACACAAAACTCCCGTATCCAGCTCTGTTTGGCTCAAGGATGCGGCAGACTTGCAACGTGCTTCACCTGATGGAGGATCATCCAGTAAGACAACTGAAACCACTACTACAACGACTACAATAAAGAGAATCACACGCATCACTACAACGCCACCAGATGAAGAAACACTAGACAAAAAGAAGATAAGAACGCAGCCTCCTCCAAGGCAGCCTGGTGTGCAGCTTCCAGGGAAACCGGTGGCGCAGCCTCCGTCTATCCATTCACGTGCGCAGCCTCCCTCAGGGCAGGCAGGTGTGCATACTGCCTCAAGGCAGCCACCTGCAGCTCCCTACACTAAACCTGCAGCTGAAACCAAGCTACCTCCAAAGGAGCCTCGCTTGTCTGCCGACTACATTCCACAACGTGACTATAATCCGGTAAGTTCCTACACCTTTGCTTTCGATAAACTCGATTATAAGGAAAGGTGTATCTTAGGTATGTGAATAATCTGAGCAATATCGTCTGGAAATGGTATGTTCCGTCACTTATGAAAAGCATTGAAGGGGCGGTTCGGCGACTGGAGGGGGAAGGAGGGTCTGTACTTTCATTGCTTCCCTACTTCTAGTTTACAAGTCTCACCCTGGTGAAGCCTGTTAAAGCTGGAGCAAGGTCGTCAAGCCATGGTAGAACCTGTCAGCTCGAGAAGAGGCTGTCTAGATAGGTGCAGGTCGATGTAAGTTGCCAAAGTGCAAAATGCCCCCCCCGTCGCCGAACTGCGGTGTTTCGAAGTGCTCCCAACTATTTCGGACACTGCTATCCCTAGATCTAGTGCTGTGGTTGACAAAATTGAAAGAATGGGAAATAGGATCATTCTTGGGCAGCAAACCTTTTCACTTCCAAGGGAGCCTTACATGAAGTATGAGGGTATATACTTGGCTCGCACCACTACTTTTGGGAACGCCCACTCTCGGCTTGTCATTACAAACCCCCTCCCCAGCCCAGTCGCTTCCATCGATAGTATGAGCTACCACAGATTACTCTAGTTCCCTGGGATGAGGGTAGGCGCGAGTGCGCACTTCATTTGAACGTGCTCTGGTGGCTGTGCTTCTGGCAGGGCATTCTCTTTGCAGAACAACTCTCATCAAGTCTTAGTCCAGCACAAGACAAGAAGACAGTTGTATCAAATGAAATATCCCTCCTAGCTCACCCTGCGCCATGTCTAATGTCCGCGATAAAATGCCTAGGTGATGTTGCAGAAATGTGGAAGAAAATTCGCCAAGTGAACCGTCTATGAAGAGAAAATGCCAAAGGGAACGTTGGAAACGCATTCGTCAGGCCTCCTCTAGCCTCAAACAACTGTAGAGGTAAAAGACCGAAAAGACCGCGCGCTGGGACGATTCCCGTCGGCTGATTCCCAGTAATGAACCCTATGACTCTACAAGAGACATTGAATGCATCCACTCCATGATACTTGCCCGGGAGCATTACTTTTGGCTGGAAGGCCGACTTTGGAGGCGGAGTCTGGAGGCGGAGTCACTGGAAAAAGGGATGTACCACTGAAGCAACTTTGCGCCTTAATTTACCGTACAACTTTCCGCCGCGAAACTGGCACAGGGTTGTCCACTCTAGGACCGCACTACCTTCCCACATAACCTATTAGATTTTCGTAGATCATCGCGGACCATTCCTTTCACTTGCGCACCGCCGTACTGTGCCCATCTCTCTATCTTTTCATCATTTTCCAACTACAGTTCACCAGTACTTTCCTGCCTCATCCCGATCGTTTATGAGGGAGCATATTTCTATTAACGAAAATGTGTTCTGGCAACATTATACCATGAAGAAATAGTCAAAATGACCAAGTATTACACATCGAGACAAATGTATGACACACCATGTGTGTCACAGGTCCAGAACACGTTAAATAATGTACGCAGACACGACTACCGCGTCTGGATGTGGTGTAAGCCACAGTGGCTGCACACAATGCAGGCACTGTAGCTTACACCGAATCCCAGAGACGCGGTAGTCCCTTACACCACATCCCTGAGGCACATAGTATAGTGATGTGGAAAACTGGTTAATCAACAGTTGATCCTCCTTTAGCGCTAGCAGGTCCTTCTTGACCTGAAAACCCCACTTCGCCTCTTTCCGCCCTTGAAAAGTTTCCCCGCAAAGAGATAAGTGACTGGAGATGAGAGAGTTTTCGTGCCCTGAAACTGTGGAACCCCTTGGTTCCCCACTAAAATTTTCAAACTTTTGGGCTCCATCTTTTGTAAGTTATCTATGCTTCCGCGCCCCGCAGACCCGAACGTTGTCGTCGGACTTACCCACAGAAAGCAGAAGCAGTGAGCACGACTGCTAGAGGCGGCAGTTGTGCCAACTTCACTGCAGAAACTCTGCGATAGGGCGTTTAGCCACCAGGGTACGGCATGAAGATGTGCGAAATGTCGGTGTGAGTACGACCACCCT